TAGGTACTACTAAGTCGTAGATTATCTAAAATTAAAAGAAGTCCAAAGTAATTACATTAAGTGGAAGATGCCTTAAGTGTATTTTTTTTTGTTTTGTATTTTACCTAAGAGTAAGAAAAACTAAAATATGTGGGCTAATAAGGTTAGCAACATCAATGATGAGTTTGTAAAATCATTCAATATCGAATACAAAAAGAAGAACGTGTCGCAGGATAATGATGAAACAAATGGTTGGTTCTTCAATGTAAACGACCGTGTATCGTGCACTGCCTGCTTTGGCGTGCGTGTGTTTGTGCTAGTGTTGCTAATTGCGTTACTCTTCATTTACACTGTGTATATTGAATTCACTTTGCTATCCCACCATACTGTTACCATTGATTCTAGTGAAGAAATAAATATACAACCCAGCAGTATGTTAAAGGTGGATAAAGTAGTGTCATGTTACTACAACACGCCCAGCCCGGGGTCTGCGATGCAGCTGGCGCCCTCCGCCATCCACCCACACCTTTGTACACATATCAATGTTGCTTTTGCTCAAATTAGAAACAAAGTAATTTATTTAGATAATGAGCAGTATAAAGCATTATCTGAAGTTGTATTGTTAAAGAGAATGAATCCCAATTTAAAAATATTGCTCTCCATTGGAGGTGCTGGAAATGACACTGGCTTTCCAAATATGGTGATTAACCATGCATCCAGAAAAACATTCATCAAAAGTGTTAAAAATGTGCTTAGAACATATGGATTAGATGGTATAGATTTAGACTGGGAGTTTCCTTTGGTTCATGTTGATGTCAACATGTATAAGCGGCAACGGCAACATTTCTCACAGCTTCTTAGGGAAATCAGGATGGAGTACATAAGGGAAAATAGAAATTATTTGTTAACTATGGCTGCAGCTGCTCCGGAAACAATTGTGGATGTGGCATATGATGTAGATCAGATCAACTTGTATGTTGATTATGTGAATGTGATGACATATGATTTCCATGCGTTCAGTAAGTACACTCCATTCACTGGACTTAACTCCCCTTTGTACCGAAGGAATACGGAACAGATGTATCTAGCCACTTTAAATATAAATTACACAGTACATTTATACCTAAACAAGGGCCTGGACCGAAGTAAAATAGTAGTAGGTATACCTACATATGGACACTCCTTTACATTGGTCAATGCTAACAATGGGCAAGTTGGCAGTCCCGCAGCGGGCTATGGCACCCTGGGAGGACTGGGGTTTGTGAATTATCCAGACATATGTAAGTTTATAGTTAAATTCCAAAGTGAAGTTATTATACAATTAGATCCCGATGCCAAGGTGCCATACCTCCACAGAGGAGCAGAATGGATATCTTATGATACGCCTCAAAGTGCCATGGAGAAAGCAAATTATATAAAAGAACAGAATTTGCGCGGTGCAATGATTTATTCTCTGAATGCAGATGACTATGAAGGACTCTGTGGTGAGGAGATAGAAGGCAGTTTAAAGTTTCCATTAGCGGTGTCAGTGAAACATGCGCTGGCAGACAAAGTGAAATCAAATTAAAGAGTATTGGGGCATATAATATCACCTGTTGCAAATTGTCATGTGGAATGTTCGATGATGCTTAGTATTGTCTGAGATGTTTCCAGGCATGCAATAAAAATGTACCTTTTTCTTCTTGGCCACATATGTAATTTTGTACATGGTGAAGAACTTCATATTGCGGCGTGGCGACTGCGGCGCTGGCGGGAGCGCGGGACGAGTGACT